CTTCGGCGCCGTTGCCGTTTCCGTTGGTGGTCGACGCCGCTGCGGTCGCCGGGGTCTCTGCCTTGGCGAGGCCTGGCGGTGCGGGGGACGCAGCGCGTGCTCCTAGATCCTTGCCGCTCTCAGCCAGCTGCGACGCCGCCTTGGCGTGGTCCACCGCCGGTGTCGAATGAACCGATGTCGGATGCGAGGCGGCAGATGCCTGCTGCGACACGCTGTGCGCGTTCGAGAGTGCCGGGGATGCGGCCGTCGTCGCTTCCGAAGGCTGATCCGCGGTGCCCGCCGCAGATGATGGCGGCGGAGAGGCCGCCGTTGGATCTGTGCTGGACCCTGGCGCGCCCGGCTGCGCGGTGCTGTTGGACGTGGCGGTAGGTGCGACGGCTGCCGCGGCGGCGGCCGCGTATCGGATCGGCGGAAGCGGTGCGGCGCTCGGTGCCTTTGGTGGTGAGGTGACCGAAGCCTGTGACGTCGGAGCTTTCGCTTGCGCAAAGTTGGCGGCTGGCACCGCCTTCTCCTTTGGCAATGCTGGTGGCTCGCTCGGCTGCTTTTTCGAGACCTTCTTTGCCAACGGTGCCGGCGACTCGTCCTTCTTCATCTCGACCTCGCTGTCTCGCCTCGCCTTTGATGGCGTGGCGTTTGGTTTCGGCGAGGCGTCGACTGGATCATCCGGAACAGGACGGCATGCAGCGCGGCAGGAATACACATCGGCTTCAGCAACGCGAGCAGCGATGTCACGGGCGCGTCGTGGCTCGCTCTTCGACGCGACTCACCGTCAGCGAGAGATGCGCCGTCGTGGCTGCTTTGGAGGTCGTCGTTATCCTTCAGACCGAACGCCTCTTCCTCGTCGTCGAGGTTGAACTCGTCATAGATGCCTTCGTCCTCCTCAAAGTCCTCTTCCTGCAGCAAGCACCGAGCGCGCGGGGCAGGGCAGAGGCACCGGACAGACCAACGAAGGCGTCAAGACGGTCAGCGCTCGATCGGCTTCGGTGCCGCTCCGACCGCGTCGGTGGACCGCCGACGCAGGCCAGGCTCGATCGACTCACAGCATTGCTCTCGACAAAGTAGGCGATGTCGTCCTTGATCCCCTCGACGCGATCCGTTTCGAGGTTGCCGTTCTCGAGCATCCGAAGGAGGATCTCGAGCCTGGAGATGTGCCAATTTCGCCGGTCGTTCTGGTTCTCCATGGCCGAGACTCGCTCGTCTTTAGCGCTGCCCTTCTTCTTCTTGCTGGAGCCGAGCGTGACCTCGATCTCGGCCTCGGTCGTCTCGACTTGTCTTGAGAGCTCGTCGACCATGCCCGAGAGCCAGTCGGACATCTCCATCTTGGCCTTCTCGCGCGGGTCTAGCCGGGCGGCTGCTATAAGGCCCTCTTTCGAGAAGGCCTTGGTCTTCATCTCCTTTTCGCACGCCTTGAACCGCTCCATTTGCTGCAGTAAGAGCAACATTGACAGACGCAGGGAAGAGCGACGAGAGGGTCAGTGGGGGCCGCCCAGGGCTTGGAACGAGGCGGTCCGCCCGGACCAGATGCTGCTAAGGCGACTCACCGTCTCAATGAGCTTGCGATTGTCGAGCAGCGGCTTCTTGTCCTTGATATCGTTGCTCTGCAGCCAGGTCTTGATCTGATCCCGGAGCCTTTGCAGCTTCTTGATCTGAGTCTTGAGGTCGGACTCGAGCTTCTCCTTCTGCGTGTGATTCGACGACTGCTGAAGCTTCTCATAGAGGCCCTCGAAGATCTCGACACCTTCCGCGACCTTCTTCAAGGTCCGGTCGATCTCGGCTGCGGAGGAGGGCAGGGCCAAGCAAGGAGAGATCAGGGCAGGGCAGGGCAGGGCAATGGTACAAGCTCGGAGCGTCAGCAATCGACATCGCCGGCCAGACAAAGCAAGTCGCCATGGCCGTTGGAGCCGTGCGTCGGATCATCCACCGGCATCAAGCAAGTCGCCGCAAGGTCTTCCATGCCGGATGGTCGATGTGGCCCGTGCCGAACCTCACTTTGCAACTTTCTTGCCGCCATCGTGACTGGTGCAAGCGGCTGGTGTTCGCAGAGGAAAGGATTGCGACTTTCAGCGGAGAGATACGAGCCGCTGAAGCCAGGTGTTGGGGAGGATAGGGTGACGCCAGCCAACGGAGGTGGAGGCTGCGTCGAGGCGGTGGAGGTTGGCGGCGGAAGTGATGGCGTTATCGGTGCTCCGGATGGGCGCTCGATCCAGCCTGAGCGGAGCGTTTCGATGTGCTAGGTTTGGAATCGGATGATGGTGGTGATGGCGATGGCGATGGTGACGGTGATGGCGGTGGCGGTGGCGATGGTGATGGTCGGGTTAAGGTGATGTGAATGGCGGTGGGGGAAGGCTGCTGGCTGGCTGCGCCTGGACCCAGCTAGCCAGCGGCCAGGGACCAATGCGATCACCCCGCTCACATTTTCTCGGGCGGGAGAGGCGCCGCGCGAAGAAAAAACGGGGCCGCCGCCGCTGCCGCTCTTGGCTTGCCGTTACCCACCGCCCCTGGTCGCTCTCGCCGCCATCACCAACACTCACCCCCATCGCACCCTTTGTCGACCCAGCCATATCTCGACCAACCGAACCCGTTCAGCCACGTTCCATCGCTATATCGCTAGAACATCACCAGCCAGCTGTAGCTCAATCCTAGGTCGAGCTTTTCCCCGTCCGCCTCGGTACAGACCGACTTCGACCGGCCACTAGTGCTGCTCCGCGCCATCACTTGTCGTCCGACCCGCGACCCCACCGCGGCAGCATCACCATGGCTTCGTCGCAGCGACAGCTTGCGTCGCTCTTCCGCTCGCTCAATCTGAGCAGCTCCTCTGCGGCTGTTGCGGCGCGGACCTCCTGCGAAGCCGGCCCGTCGACCTCCAGGCGGCTGCTCTCGACCACATCAAAGCAGGACAATGCCAAGCACACGCCAGGTTAGCATGCCGCCCGTCCCACGCCGGGGTCCTAGGCGCCGACCGCATCCTCTCGACGCATGCTGACACTCCGCTGGCTCTTGCCTCTGACCTGTTCCTCATCGCCGTTGTCCCCCCGCAGCCAAACCTTACCCCTTCTCCGACAACGCCATCGTGCCCGGGCAACCCCAGTTCCAGTCGACCAAGGTGGGCAAGAAGCCGCCACCAGCTCCCAAGACCATCTTCAACGGCGTCATGCCGCGCGTCCATGCCGACCTCCGGGCGCGCTACGACCCGGACAACCGCCTGACCAAGCTGTTTGACCGCGACTCGCCGGACCGCATCCCTCCCGGCTCGGTCCTCGTCGTAGAGACGTGGACCTCGCCGCTCAAGACGGGCTTCTCGTCCTTCTCGGGCGTCCTCCTCGCCATCCGACGTCGCGGCGTGTCGACGTCGTTTGTGCTGCGCAACCTGGTGGTCAAGCTCGGCGTCGAGATGCGATTCAACCTCTACTCGCCGTTGCTCAAGGACGTCCGCGTGGTGCAGAAGGCCGTGGCGGGCAAGAACGACAAGTCGGGCAAGCTGCGCAGGACACGCCGGGCCAAGCTCTACTACCTCCGCGACGACGACAGGAGGCTCGCCGGCATCGGCAACGTCATCAAGCAACAGAGGCTGCTCGAGGAGAAGAGGGAGAAGGAGCTCTCCAAGAGGAGAGTGGGTCGTCGGTAGGCGCCTGGCTTCCTGGCACCGGCCGTCTCTTGTCCCGGAGCCGGGGTCAGCCTTGTTTGCATGGTCATCAGGAATCCCCCGTCACAGCGCATTCTGCGTTGCTTGCCATCGTCGCCTGCTCTTCTTCGTGTGTGCGTCTCCGTCGCCGACAGGGTCAGTCCGTCCGTCGGCATCGACTCAGGACCAGCCGTAGAGAGTTGGACTGTCGCGTTGCTGCAGTGGGTCGTGCGATAATGGTACATGGCTCTGACGAAGCGCTGCGATGCTGGAGAGCGTCAGGCCGACGGGCAGAGAAGCCGAGAGCGAGCGAGCAGTCCGAGGTCGGGTCTCGCCACCGCCAAAGAGTAGAATGGGCGGAGCATCAGGGCCCCTGGCCCTTCCTGGAATTCGGAGCTGCAGATGCATCTACCATGTGGCCTTCTCAACACCGGGAAGCTCTCCGGCGAGCGCCTTGAGACGGAACTGGTACTGTGGGATTGCAAAGACAGCGAACGAGGGGCAGATGATGGTCAGTGAGCGGGCATGGACGGGCTGGCTTGTCTTTGGAGTCGTCGGTCCGCATGCGCAAGGTGGCAGCAAGTCGATCGCCGCCGCTACTGCTTCAAATGTCGCATCAGCACGTCTAGGCAACTCACCCTGCAGAGGCCAAAGTCGCCAATGATACCACGACCCCGACCGGTCTCGGTGCAGCGGTTGGACACCGACGTGGGGCGGGTCTTTTGCGGGAACTGGTTGAGCTGAAGCTGGGCCTGGTGGCGGACCCTCTGCGGGAGCGTCGTGTTCCTAGCGACGTACTTGAACGCCCTGCGGATGAGCTCGTTGGACTCGACCGCCTGGCGGGTGGCCATGTCCCGGCTGCGACAGAGAACGAGGCGTGGTGCAGCAGTGGTGTCCAGTCAGTCACCGAGGGCCATGCAGACGCCAAGTCCGTACATCATAGACCTACAGGACTCTTGCGTTGGGTCGGACCGGCATGTCTGAAGTGTGCGGCGACGTGCGGTTGTCGGGTGGCGGATCGTCGAGGGGATGGTGGAGAGCGGCGAAGAAGCGGATCCCGCCTAGGCACCCGGCAGGAGTTCCTTCGTCCACGCAAGCACGATTTTCGGATCCGCGCCGACCCTTCCGACCTGGGCTCAATCGACCGCATCCGCCCCTCCTCCTCCTTTTCCCCCTCCCCCCTCTTCTCCCCTTGATGCGGTGATGTTCCAGTGCTGAGCAGGCATTCCTACAAGGATGACTGCTGAGACGGCCCTTACAACAGGCCGAATGAGTCGGCCAGAAGGTCCGTAGCTGCTCTGCAAAGTGCCGAGAAGCTGTTTCCAGGCTGGAATCCGCCTCCGTGCTCCGGAAAAAATGTGCCTGACCCGGCCCTCCACCCGCTGCCCGTGCGCGCCTCTGCTTTTTTTGAGAAGCTTGATGGGCCCTCATTTTGCTCTTCACCACCAACCGCGCCCTCCTCCAGCTTCCTTCGAACGACCCGCCCCCGCTCGGTGCCTGACACGGCGACGCTAGAGACAGCCTCGCTCTATCGCTGTTCAAGGACGCAATCGTCCCGGCCCTTCTCTCGGTCGCGCACGCTGCGCGGCCGCCTGCGTACGCCGTCATGTTCCGCATGTCTTCGCAACCCAGCAAGAAGAGGCGATACACGTCGAGGCCGGCAGAACGCAATGGCGGACCCAGCGTCAATGGCGGTGGCAACAGCAACGGCGATGGAGCGTCCAAAGCCGATTTTTCGGACGATGGCTTCGACTACAATGACCCGCGAGAGACCTATGGCAACCAGTCTCTGCCCGTCGCCGAGCTTCCCGTCGACTTTGACGGAATACCACTCGACGGCGAACAGTACCTGGCCACGGTGAGGTGAGCAAAAGGCGAGCCGTCGCGCTGGAGAAGATCTTGACCGAGCGCTGAGCCCTGCGTATGTTCCTTTTGAATCCGGCAGGATGGAAGCAGCGTCGCACCCCTCCATCTTCTACGCGCCAAACAACCCCTATGCGGCGCAGGACGATGACGTGGTGGTAGCCCCTGCTCTTGCAGAGGACGCCACCGCACGCGACAGGACAGCGAATCTGCTGCGGTCCCTTTCGATGCCGTCCGAGGACTGGCGGCTCGCTTTCCTGGACAAGTTCCGCAACATGCGAGAGGTATGTATCTCGCTTCTCTGGGCGCGGCCTGGGGGTTTCCCGCTCGTCCTTCCCTCGGGCTGACACGACATTCCTTCTGCGCCTCACGCCACAGTCTCTGAGCAACGCGCCGATGGAAAAGGTCGCATACGTTCAGGATCGCCTGCCGAGGCCTGGAAACGCCGACGGCTGGTACGCCTGGATCCACGGCACGCCGCCCGCTGCCGACGGTGAGGCGGCAAAGGAGGGAGCGAAAGCCTCGTCGTCGGCCGCGATCAAGCCGCCGAGCGACCGCGAAGATGACGATATGGACCTGGGCGATTCGGACGCTGCCGAGGAGGCGGACACTCCCGGTTCCAGCATCAAGGAGCCGTCGGGAGGAGCGCTTCGAAGGCTCAACACGGTGAGTGAGACTGGCTGCATCGCGGCAGGATCCATTTGTCGGGGCAACCCTTGCTGACCGCGCCGGAGGCCCCCCCCCTATGCGATGATTGACGAGGCTCAGGACCACGTCCTTGGCATCCTCGACGCTTTCCCTTCGTGGCTCTCGCCGGGTCTGCACCTGACGACGCCCTACGACGAGGCGCGCGGGCAGCAGCCGGCGGTCGACGGCGTCGTGCGGCAGGACACGCCCGTCATCCACCCGCTGCACGCCCGCTGGCTCTTTGCGCTGCTCGCCTGGCTCGACTCGCGACTGGTGAGCGAGCAGATCAGCGTGCTGCGCACCCTCGCTCGGGCCTGCATCACGGCCATCTCGATCAGCAGGATCAGGAACAAGGCGCTGAAGAGCCGAAAGAAGAGACTTGCCGCATCATCCAACGGCGGCTCGGCGGCGACACCGACGACAGCAGCACCTGCGGAGGCCAGCGCGGGGGACTCGTCATCAGGCTCTCCCCGCACTGCATCGCCAGAGGCAGCGGACAGGGTGCACCCAGGGGAGATCGGAGCCTGGATGGTCGTGACGGCCATTGCTGGCATCTGGGGTCAGACGGACCTGTGGGACGACGCCATCGCCGACCTCAAGAAGACCGCTGGCTGAGGCGCAAAGAGGGCTCCTCGCCGGCCCGTGTGATGACGGCCAGCTGTGCCTCCGACGGCGGGCAACGGCCCGTTCATTCTCTATACCCCGCGCATGCGCCTGCACTGTACCATCATAGCAACCCTGGAGACTCGTCGAGACGACTACAGAGATTCGAGCGTAGATGAGTTCGTCGATCTCGAGCGAGGAATCCATCAAAGAGCGGGAGGTGAGGGAGCCCCCCTCACGCCGGGTCAGCCCAGCCGGCCGAAAAGAGAGGGGGCCCGGCAGGTTGGCCCGCGGTGCGGTCCCTTTTGCCGTTTGCCGGCTCGACGGCTGAAAGGCAGGCGAAAGCGATGCCCCGCTCGCACTCTTTCGGATCCAGCGCTTCTCGCCCTCCTCCTCCTCTTCCTCCTCCTCCTCATCCTCCTGCCCTCGCCGCCCCACCATCATCAAGCAACCCTCACTTGCGCGTGCGCCGCCCTGCTCGTCCAGTCGTCTGGATCATCTGCACTCGCCAACTGCGTCGGGCGCATCAGCTGCTCGGCTGCGCAGCATCGCAGCATCGCAGCACCGTGGTCAGCAAACCTAGCCAGCGTCTTCGCACTCTTCCCATCCGGTCCCGCCAGCGCTGCAACCTGCCCTCGGTACATCGTCCCACCGACGGCCCCAACAAAGGCCTCTCTCTGTTGTCGTCGACTGGCCAGCAAGGAGCCTCCTGAATAGGCGCGCCACGCTGCCGGCAAAGTCGCCACTGGGCGGCGATGCGACTCCATCGCTCATCGACGACCGGCGCTTCCGTCGTCTCCTCTGCCCTACGGCTGGCCGGGCCCTTGCCCTCTTCGTCTTCGACCTCATGGCAGCCTCGACCACGTAGCGTGCTTCCGGGCACACACCTGCGGACTGCGTCGCCGCGGCAGCGGCACGCCTCGACGGCGCAGCAGCAGTCGAGCACCTCTCTCGAGGATGCCCCGACCAAGCAGAAGTCTGAAGCACAGCAGAGCGACGCCGGCGCAGCGCCGTACTCTGTGCGGGTGACCGACACTCGCTCCAATCCTCCGCCACCAGATCAGCCTCGCTCAGATGCGGCCGTGGGCGAAGCCGGGACACCGCAGGCCTCTTCTTCGAGCGAGGCAGAGGCGCCATCCCAACCGCAGCAGCAGCAGCAGCAGCAGCAGCAGCAGCAGCAGACCTTGGCTGGCTCGTCGCACGAGGATCTGCTCAAGCAGCGCTTCTACCATGCACAGTCACAGAACAAGAAGGCCTCGACAGTGGTCGCGGCGGGCGCGATCAACGCCCTCAGCGGCGGGCGCAGCGACACCACCATCCTGCCCCCAGAGGCAGAGACTGCCACTTCGCCCGAGACTGCGTGGACAGCAGCGGGGAGGCGCTCGCAACCCAATAGCTCGTCGCAGTCCTCGCCTGGGCCCGCGTCCGAGCAGCGCGCGAGCTCGACCGACGCCACGACCGAGGCAGACGGATCAGGGGCTGGTGGCAGCGACACCTCGACGGGGGCCACGACGGTCAATGTCCAGTATGATCCGAGGCTTGAGCTCCACGCTCCTGCCCAGGCGCTCCGCAGCCTCGAGGTGCCCTTCGACACCCACGCCTTTGTCAAGCGACTAGAGGAGGGCGGCTGGACGGCCGATGCCTTCCGAAAGGGATCTGCACCACGGTCCGAGCCGTCCCGCGAGAGCCACGGCGAGGCCAGTGCGATGTCGGTGGATGAGATCGACGGTCGAGTAGCGGAAGAGATGGCCCTCCAGATCTCGCGCCGGCACGATCCGGCGCAGGCCATTATGGAGCATGCCCGCTTCCTCATCACGCGGCGGGGCAGTCAGACGGCGCAGGCCTGCCTTAACAAGGGTGACGTCGAGAACCAGGCGTACCTCTTCAGCGCCGCCCTGTCGGAGCTGCAGACCGAGGTCCAGGTGCGCGCTCGCAACGATGCGGCCGCGCTGCGCAGCATCACGACGCTGCTGCAGCGCGAGGTCGACGCGCTCGAGCAAAAGATGAAGGAGGACGTCGAGCGCCTCAAGCACGACATCCAGGTCGACATGAACAACCGCAAGGCCGAGTCCAAGGACGAGCAGAACATCGTCGAGCAGGAGATCCAGGACCTCCACAACCGCTTCACCATCAGCCTCTCGGACCTCAAGACCGAGATCGAGCAGAACGTCAAGTGGGACGCCACGCGCCGCAGCCTCTTCCTCGTGTTTGGCATCGCCGCCATCGTGGCAGCCAACCTCGCCATCGCCGACTACATGACCCGCGACGACGACGCCGCCGCCGCCAACAAGGCGGCCAACAAGGAGGCCGCACACCTCGCCGGAGAGCCGCCGGCGTCGGCCAGCGTCGGAGCCCCCGCCTCGCTGGGCTGGGCGGCCGAGGGCCGCGTCCTCTCTGCGTGGCCCGTCCTGGCCCTGGGCGCCTCGGTGCGCTTCCGAGCCGCTCCCTCGATGGCCCGGGCGGCCGCCGCTTCGGTCTGGTCAGCCGCACCCCGCGGCATGGCGGGGGTCGGACTGCATCGAAGCCTGGCTAGCCTGTCGGCGGGCCGCCGCCGGCAACGCGAGGCCAAGAGCCGCTCGCCTGTCCCTCGCCCATCCTGGCAGTCGGCCATCTCCACGGTGGGGTTGCGCAGCCTGCGGACCGCGGCGCCGCTCTCGCAGGCGGCGGTCCGCTCGTCGAAGGCGTCTTCGGAGCCGCTGACCATCCCGGAAACCGATATCGCCATCGAGCTCCACCCGACCAGCGTGGCCATCCGCTCCGAGAGCCTAGGCCTGCCGCCGTTCCACTTTGACCACGTATGGCTTCGCGACGCCTGTCAATCCAAGGGCAGCGTGCACGCCAGCAACAAGCAGAAGCTCTTCCACACCAGCGACGTGCCGCTCGACGTGCCGCTGCTCGACGCCCAACACCCGCCCATCCTCACCACGCGCGAGATCCCTGGCGGCGGCGGCAGCAGCGAGCACGTGCTCCGCGTCACATTCGCCAAGGAGCACGCCGTCTTCAACGCCTTCACCGCCCTCTTCCAGCAGCCCGCGGCGGCCGACGAGTCGCACGTCTCCGACTTCCCCGTCTCCTTCCTGCTGCATCACGCCCTGCCGGACCTCTACGCCCAGACGCACATGGACGTGATGGCGGTGCCGCAGACGTGGGCGGGCAAGGACCTGACCGAGTTCTCGTCGCAGCCGTGGAGCGCCGAGGCCAAGGCGGACCCGGTCGAGGCGAGCATCGCCCTCGCGCTCGGGGCCATGGCACGGCCGGCACGGATCCCCTACCACGCCATCCGGCCGCCGGGCAACGCCGCCGAGGGCATTGACGTGGCGGCGATCGAAGAGGCGCGCGACGAGGCGCTGTACGCGCTCACTGAGGCGACGATCCGCGACGGCTTCGCGTTCGTTACGGGCGTCCCGACGGTCAAGACGGGCACCGAGGCCGGGCCCGAGGCGGCGACGCTGCGCGAGCTGGCGTCGCTCATGGGCGAGATCCGCCACACGTTCTACGGCGAGCTGTGGGACGTCCAGTCGAAGCCGTCGTCGGACAACATCGCCTACACCAACCTCGACCTCGGGCTCCACATGGACCTGCTCTACTTCCAGAACCCGCCGCGCTTCCAGTTCCTCCACATGCTGCGCAACCGCGTCACGGGCGGCGCCAGCATCTTTGTCGACAGCTTCAAGGTGGCCGAGCGCATGTGGCACGAGGACCGCGCGCTGTGGGAGATCCTGACGCGCGTGCCCGTCGGCTTCCACTACGTCCACGGCGGGCGCCACTACCGCTTCACGCACCCCACCTTTGAGCTGGCCCACGACACCGAGGGTCACGCCGGCCCGCCGCTGCACGGCTCGACGATGCCCCGGCTGAGCGCGGTCAACTACTCGCCGCCGTTCCAGTCGCCGCTGCCGCTCCACCCGACGCCGCATCTCGCCACCGCCGAGGACCGCGAGCGCTTCTACGCGGCGCTCAAGCGCTTCGCCGATCTGACGCTCGACCCCGAGTTCCGCTACCAGAAGCAGCTGCAGGAGGGCGAGTGCGTCGTCTTTGACAACCGCCGCGTCCTCCACTCGCGCACCGGCTTCGAGTGGAACGCCGACCAGGTGGGCGAGGTGACTCGCTGGCTCAAGGGATGCTACGTCGACGGCGACGCCATCTGGAGCAAGTACCGCGCCCTGCGCACCCGGCTCGGCGCGGGTGCGGGGGCGCGCGGAGTGCCCACGTCGGGCCGCACTGCCACCAACCCGACGGGCGCGTCGCGGCGCATGTTTTCGACGTCGGCGAGGCGGCGCGGCGACGCTTCGCCGCCGGCGCTGCCCATGGACGTGTCGAGGTTTGCGCCGGCCTCGGACGACCCGACGGTGGTCGACGCGCGGTCTCGCACCGCGATCCAGCAGTCGTTGTCGTCGTCGTCGTCGTCGCCCCTGTCGATGACAAGTTACCGGCCCGTGCCGCCGCTGTCGGCGGCGACGCTGCCCAAGATCTACAAGCAGCTGTCCAAGTCGCGTCTGACGTTTCTCGTCGTGCTGACGGGCATGGCGGGCTACGCGCTGTGTCCGCCCGCGCTGACGGTGGCGTCCGGCTCGCCCGTCGTGACGCTGCTGGCGCTGACGGCGGGCATGGCCATGTGCTCGGCGGCGGCCAACAGCCTCAACCAGCTGGTCGAGGCGCCCTACGACGCCCAGATGGCGCGCACCCGGGCGCGACCCATGCCGAGCCGCGCCGTGACGCCGCTGCACGCGTTTTCGTTTGCGTCGGCCTCGGCGGTCGGCGGCATCGGCCTGCTGGGCGTCATGGTTAACCCGCTGACGGCGGCCCTGGGCGCGCTCAACATCGGCCTCTACTCGTTCACCTACACGCCCATGAAGCGGATGAGCATCGCCAACACGTGGGTGGGCGCCGTCGTCGGAGCGCTGCCGCCGCTTATGGGCTGGGCGGCGTGCACGGGCACGCTTCACCACGCGTCCGACCTGGGCGGCTGGGCGCTGGCGGCGCTGCTGTTTGCGTGGCAATTTCCGCATTTTAACTCGCTCGCCCATACGCTGCGCGCCGAGTACGCCCGAGGTGGGTACCGCATGATGGCCGTGACGGATCCGGCGCTCAACCGGCGCGTGTCGCTGCGGTACGCGCTGGCCATGATCCCCGTCTGCTCGGTGCTGCTGCCCTACAGCGGCATCGTGCACCCGCTGGCGTACGCCGTGCTCAGCCTGCCGCCCAACGTCGCCATGGCCCACGCCGCCTGGCGCTTCTGGAGCGAGGGCACGCAGAAGGCCGCAAAGTGGTGCTTCTGGGTCAGCCTCATCCACCTGCCCGCCGTCATGCTCCTCGCCATGGGCTGCAAGCCCGAGCTCTGGGACGGCATCCGGCAGCGCGTCGCGCGCTTCACCGGCGGTAGCCAGGGCGAGCAGAGCGTCGATGCGTAGCGGGGGGGTGTCTAGAGGTGTCGACAGTCGATGTGCGTGAAGGAGCTGTAGCACTCAATTCTCGTCGAAAGAGCAGCGGGACGGAGCAATCATAGAAGCCATACAGGTTCGAAGGGTCGCGAGCGGTGCGGCAGGGCGACGAGAGAGTGGGCAGAGAAGTCAGCCGGGTCCCAGGTAAGGCTGGCTTGTTCCTGGACCGCGCCTCGTCGATGTCCCCGCCTGTCGAGAGCGTTCGTGTGGGGGTAAGGGCCACCGTCAATACATAGACTGGCATCAGGAACCGCACCAGAAAGCATGGCAAGCCGTCACGCTCGAGCCCGCTCCCCGCACGCAACGCACAGGCCGTTGACAGCACTTGTACGCCCACAAAAGCAATCTCACGACGTCACTTGGTGTGCCTTATTCTGACAGGCCAATTACGACGACGCCCACCGCAGAAGAAGGACCAGCACGCGGCCGGATGCACGCAGGAAGAAGCGACGCGGTGGTGGGGCAGAGGAGAAAAGGCGGGGCGACTGGCCCGGGCGCACAGCGCTCCTGGGCCTTTGGTGCGTCGGCCTCCGTTGCTTTCGTTGCAGATTGAAAGAGGGGGGAGAGAGAAGACAAAATGGAAACCCGATCCACCAGGGATGTAGAGGAAGAGAGACAGAGATCCGAGAAAAGGAGAGAGGCGGGCTATTCCCGCTTGACTACCGAGACGCGAACCAGGGAGGGTAAAAGCCGACGACGGCGTCTATGGGGATTGGGCATGGCAATCAGGCCCCGATCTTGGTCGGGATCCACCAGGGACCTCGATGACCTCCAACCGGGAACCCAACCGACTCCACCCGCCCCGGGAAAAGACGCGTCCAACGCGCTACGAAAATCATCGTCTACCGCGCCGCGCTTAAAGCGCACCCGTCAGCATGCGGAAGAGCGACGTCGGGTTGTTGCCGTTCGACAGCCTGTTGACCTCCGACACTCCCTGAAGATCCTGAAGCACCGCGAAGGGGCTGAATCCTTTAACGTAACTCTGGGAGTTCATCCAGGAGGTGATGGTCTGGCCGAACTGCCAGGCCTCGTCCTTGGAGCACTGAGCACCCCCGCTGAAGTTCTGGCAGGCGAACTCGGTGATCCAGAGGTCCTTGCCGAAAGTCTCGTGCCAGTCCTGGATGTACTTCTTGAAGTCGTTGACGTCGGTGGCGTAGTAGTGGAGAGCGATGGCGTCGATCTTGTTGAAGACGTCGGGGCAGGTCTTCTGGAAGTCCTGGTACCAAGTCTTTCCGTCGGGCGCGTTGGTGGTCGAGGGTCCGATGATGTACCAGCCGTTGTCCTTGAGGGGCATGAGGTTCTCGCGCATGAGCTTGCATCCCTCGGCGGCGCTCATGATCGACTGGCCCTTCTGGTTGACCTCGTTCATGCCCATGGCGCACTTGTGCTTGTTGAATTTGCCGTTCTGGTTCTGGACGACGTTCTTCTTGAAGGTGGCCTCGTTCTTGTAGCCCCAGAGCATGGGGCAGTACATGAGCTCGTCGATGGGGAAGCCGTCCCAGCCGGGCGTGTCGCTCCAGCTGTAGGCCCACGAGACGTCGCCGCCCATGAAGTTGTCGATGGGGATGCCGTTGGCGTTGGCCCAGCACAGGCCGGCCTTGCCGCCCTTCTTGTTGGGCGAGCTGCTCGACGAGGACGAGGACGAAGAAGACGACGACGACGAGGACGACTCGGACGAGGAGGAAGACTTGGCCGAGTGCTCCTCGCTCGAAGACGAGGACGAGGACGACGACTTGGCAAAGTCCTTGGCGGCGTTCTTGGCGGCGTTGTTGGTGGCGGAGGCGGCGGCGCCGTTGTCGGAGCTGCTCTTCTTGTTCTTGTGCGTCTTCTTGCCGCCGGCGCCAGCGCTGGCGGAGCAGGAAGACTTCTTGTGGTTGTGGTGGTGAGAATTGTGTCGGCGCAGGGCGGGGGCGTGAACATCGTTGTGGCCCGAGGCGGCAACAAACGAGGCGCTGGCCAGCATGGCCGCGACGAGGACGGTGGAGCCGAGGAACTTCATGGTGCTGCAATTCCGGAAAGAGTGAGGTCGAGTGAGAGACGGTGGTGGGGTGGGGGGGGGGGGGGGGGGCGGGTTAGTATCGAGGGGAAGGCGTCGAGCTTGTCGATAAGGAGAGGGAGGGGTTCGAACGACGTGAGGAGGGGAGTGGTTGCGGGGAGACGTTCTGGAGGCGAGGTGGTGGAAGAGAAGAGGCGGATGATGAAGGGGGGAAATCAAAGGGAGACGTCAAGCCTGTTTGATTGCGAGGGGAATGCGGGAGTGATATGGGTTGGTGGCCGGAAGGTGAGGGAGGGATGAGGGGGGAGAACGAGGAGGAAAGGTGCCGGCGGGAGCGCAAACAACGTCGATGGAAATAGCGCTGGCCAAGGCCAGGGACAGGTCAGGCTCGCATGCCTCTTGCCTTGGGTCTCCCGTGCTGCCATCGTCGCCGCCGCCGCCGCCGACGACGACGAAGCATGATGGGCTACGCGGCCACGACGATCAGCCGTCCATTCTGCCTGAAGGCAGCCCAGGCAGCGCGGCAGGCCAGCGAAGGCAAGCCGTCCTGGCGGTGAATGGCGCTGAGCAAGCAGGCCAACGGCAGGCACCACCCGCCGGCGGCAGCGCCCGCAGCGTCTAGGGTAGTGCCCCAAAAACACACGCACGCCGCACACGCATGCACCTGCTGGGAACGAGGGCGTTGGCTTTTGCGGATCTGCGCGGCCTCGAGACGAGGCTCAGGCGGCCGGGCCCAGCGGGCAGACCAGAAGTTAAGGCAAGGGGCAAGCCGCAAGGCGGCGGGGCGGACCAGCGGGGCTGGAGGCGGCATCGGCGGCACCAAGCAGGGAGAAGCGAGCAGGCGCGAGATGCCGCGCCGAAGCAGGAGGCCGGAGGTCCCGCCGCAACGAGCCCGCCCAAGCAGGAGGCTAGGGCCAGCAAGCAAGCAAAGCAAAAGCCACCAAACGCGACGAATCGACATGCTCCGGCAGGCAGGCGGCAGGTCAGGCTGCGGGAGCCGGCACCATCTGCAGCGCAGGAAAAAACGCAAGCCGGCCGGTTACGCCGAGGAACGCAGCAGCAGCGAGCCATCAGGGCGGCGGCACCGCTCGCCCGTCGATCCGATTTGTATTGGCTGGCTGCCGTCGACTTGAAAAGCGATTGGCCCGGGTATTCGAATCTCGAGCTTAGGCGAAACCCGCAAATACAACCAAAATAGATGCCAGGCTAGCCGAGGCGGCACGCCGTCGGGCCTGGGCCGACCCCGGTCAAAGGCGCCGCCCCGAGATCCCAGGCCGGATCTCGACCCTCGCTCGAGGGAGCACCCGTTACGCACGGTAGCTTTGGGACTTCTCCTGGGCGATAGGGATGGTGCTCGCCTGCCGGTGCAGCAGGACGATCGCGAGCATCGTCTGACTACACTGTGGCTAGACGGCTGTCAGGATACTCCACGGCCGATGTTGCCCAGCCTGCACTTCGCACATGTGCCTGGATCGGTGGCAGGCGCATGGTTCCTACGCTCCCTAACGACCAGACGGGCCTCCTCATGGCACAAGCTGCCGGCTTCCGCGCGCTCAAATTGCTGGCGGTCTTCGGGCTTACGCTCATCGAGGCGCCATACGTACGTACGGATCCTTCTATCGTGCCAGTCTTTGTCAGTACGCAATACAGATGTCAGCTTCATTCCTGCTCTAGGCTCGTCAGACCCGCCTTGTCCGTTTCTGAAGCACACCGGTTGCCGCTGGCGAGGACGGGCGCTGAGCGCAGCTACCGGTAGATTTTCAGCGAATGGAGCGACACGCCAAGGCTTCCAGCACAGACGTCCAGGAGCACACGAGCGGAGTCTGACAGCGGTCTGGCAAGGGCAGAGGCGGATCGGTGCGCGTGTTCTGATCTGAGACCAGCAAAGCACGCCCACAGCAGCGTCTCTCTGCCGAGTACAGTCACGTTTTACCCCCAAGCTCCCGTTATATACGCCGCTCCCAGTGCACTTGAGTTCCGATTGACGATATCAACGAGCCCCGGCCTCTGCTATCGTATGGGATCGGTGAGAGACAAGGCGTTACGGTAAGGATCCTCGCTGTATCGCCATCGCCTCTCTTCGGAGGTCGCAGCACTCCGTGTACGTGGACACCTTTGGGATGTCCAGAGTAAAGGCCGGGCTGCGTTTCGTACCGGCGTCAGCGTCGGCGGAAATCGTCAGCCGGAAGGATCGGGTGTTCGACGGTCCTTGGAGGACGCTCGATGCAATCGGGCGAGCCTATACAGGGGGGCGGAGGCGCAGTGGCCACAATCTGCCGTGGCTGTGGCCAGACGAGGTGAGGGCTTGCAGCGACATCGAGCCGGAGGCCCGATGAAAGGCAAGCGGCGCCATGTTGGACCGCCACTCGTTAGGTTAGAGGTACTCCTCTCTGGACGTCAAGCACCTGGACGACACTCTAATCAACGCCGGCAGCCACTCGTCTCTCTGTTGACAAGGATCGATCGAGGCTGCCTTTTTCATCGCGACTCCTTTTCGATGTCCCTTCCCCTTTGTCTGTATCGCCACATTGGCGTGGGCAAGTCAGCCCCTTTGACGTCGACTTCACGACTGCATACATGTGACCAATACTCGAGCTCGGCGCCGGCGCGAGGCGCACAAAGGGATGCGACTTGATGAAGGGTAGGACCGCAATCGCCACCATCTGCCTCGTGCCGTTCCGTTAAACTCGTGCCGCTGCTGCTGTAGCGAAAGACAGCTTCGCGGCCCTCGAGACGTATCGCTCGGATCGTCTCCCTTTGCCGTGGCGTCGGTGGCGAGAGAATTGCGTCCTGCGCACGGCTGCAGCTGGACTTCTACCACTCGTGCACCCCGCCATCTGATCGTGCCACCGGCGTCCTTCCAACAGCAGGCACCGCGACATAGTTAGTGTCGGGATCGGCACTGTACTGGCCGGGCTCTCTCGCTGACCCTCCTTGCGCACTGCTCCTGCACGTCAAGGGGAGCGATGCATGGCAGGGAAAGAGAGGCGAATATGGTCGGCTGGGCGCCGGCAACGACGGAGGCACACAAGCAAGCAGCGTGGGCAGGTCGCGAAGAGATACGATGCTGAGATGCTGGCGGTCTGCTCGCCGCGTGGAATTTTCCTGGCTTTTCTTCTGGTTTTTCATTTCAACTCCGGCGTGGGCCTGCTTGGCCCTTCCAGCAGAGGGTCAGCGCGGCGGGGGGCGAGGGTGAGGGCGTTGAACATCCATCGCCCGGCCCCTGACTACGTACGAGCAGGCGAGCCTCGACGCCGTCGCCCCGCCAGACCGCTTCGGTCGGCAGACGATGCGTTCCTCGCCCCACGGCGTTCGGACGACGATATCGCGAGCGCCACCTTGGCTTGCTCCTTGAGCAACCGACCCACAAAGGGGCGGCAGCGTGCGACTTGCCAAGAGGCCGGCTGGCTGTGGTTCTCGACCCGGAACGCTGGAAACAGAGGCCCGGGCCACGCATACCAGAGGCCTGCCTCAGGCAACCCTCGCGCACGCGCGCGCGCGACCCCCGTCTGTCTGGCCTAGGCGTGGCCTGCCTGCCTGCCTGCTTGGCCAAACCAGGACCTCGCGCGGCCCATTGCCGACCTCCGAGCCTTTTTTGAGTCGGTCGGCATCGGCCCACCACCACCACCACCGCCGCCGCACGCATCATCACCCGCTTCGGATCGTCCGACCGCGACAGCTGCGATCACGACTCACGACCTACCCGCCCTGGACTACGCCCACACCGCTCGTGCATCTGCGCTCGATATTGCTCTGCTCCGCCTCGCCCAGGATCGCCGACCCTCTTCCTGTGCTGCTTGCTGCGATTTCTGCCAACAGTCTTACTGTCCACTCCGCCACCCGCCAGCATCGTCGCGCTCTCGGGAGATCCGTGTTCCAGACTGAGACTTCCCCACGCTACGGCCGTCTTCCGCTCCGACGACAAGCACCACGGCTGCCCAATCCGACCACCGCATCGCCTCCGGAGGCAGGCCGAAACATCAACCGGCACTTGGCGGCCGCACCTGACAGCGTACCGCACCGCACCACACCAAAGCCGAATCCGCTCGGGGGACACGGGCGAAGCGCTCACTGGCAGTCACCATGAAGGGCCTGAAAGAGTTCCGACGCTCCCTCAACAAGGACCGCAGCTCCGGCGGCAAGCCGGCTGGATCCGCGCAGTCACCCAGCACCTTTACCGGCGTCAAGAGCGCCGTCACCATCCAGCCACCCAAGCTCGTCATCCGCGCCATCAAAGACTACCGCTCCACCGCGCCCCACGAGCTCTCCTTCCACAAGGGCGACTTCTTCCACGTCACCTCCGAATCGAGCACCAACCCGGACTGGTTCGAGGCCTGCAACCCCATCTCCAACGCCCGCGGCCTGGTCCCCGCCTCGCACTTTGACGTCCTGTCCAAGAGCAGCAGGGCCGCCGCCACCAGCGCAGCAGGCCCGGGCGCCGTCTCTCCGACCCTGGGCAGCGGCGGTCCCACATCGCCCAACTTCGCGTCCCAGCAGGCGGCCGGACCCACCGCGTCGAGCATGTACGGCCGAGCAGCTGGCGCGGCCGTTGCGGGAAAGGGAGGCGCGGCGGGCGGCGGAGGACTCTATGCGGTGGTCAAGTACAACTTCGTCGCCGAGCGCGCCGACGAGCTCGAGGCAAAGGCCGGCGAGCCCATCATCGTCATCGCCCAGTCCAACTACGAGTGGTTCGTCGCAAAGCCCATCGGCCGCCTCGGCGGACCCGGCCTGATCCCCGTCACTTTTGTCGAGATCAAGGACCTGGTGACCGGACGGCCCGTCGAGGACGTCCAGGAGCTGATCGAGAGCGGCGTCGTGCCCAAGGTCGAGGAGTGGAAGAAGATGACGGCCGAGTACAAGAAGAACACCATCCCCCTGGGCCGTTTCGACTTCCCACAGCCGCAGCAGCCACCTCACCATCAGGCCGGCATCTCGCCCTACGGCAATCCGTCGGCGGGTAGCAGCACCAGCTTCGGCACCCACTCCTTCAGCCAGCTCCATCAGCAGCAGGACCTCCCCACACCTCCGCCCAAGGACGGCCTTTACGACTCTTCTGGCGGTCCCCTGGGAGGGCAATATGCGCACAACCACGATGGTCACTCTTCGTCGCCAGCTGCTGCGGCCGCCGGGATGGACCCGATGTCGGAGCTGCCGCCTGGCATGTCGCCGGGAGAGCCGCTACCGACGGGCATCATCACCTCTGCGGCCGTCGACTCTTTCCACTTTGAGCAGGGCGACTACTGGTTCCGCATCCAGGCCACCCACGTCGCCGGCCCCTCGGACTCTGCGCCTCTCCACGCTCCACGCGCGCCAGAGGGCGAGGAGCGCGACCTGATCCTCTACCGTCTCTACGAGGACTTCTACGAGTTCCAGATTGCGCTCCTCGACCACTTCCCCTCCGAGGCTGGCCGCGAGACGGACGACAACGGCCACTCCAGCGAGCGCATCTTGCCGCTGATGCCTGGCCCGCTCGATGAGGTCGACGACCTGGTGACGTCGCAGAGGAGGGTGGACCTGGACCAGTACATTGTGGAGCTGTGCGCCCTGCCCGAGTACATCATGCGCAGCGAGCTGGTGCGCCTCTTCTTTGAGCCGAGACCCGGTGACCATTGCACCACACACCCGGCGCGCGGGGGTAGCCAGGCTGCGGCGGGCGAGGCGAGGGGCTCCGCAAGCGCCTACAGCGGAGGCGGTCACCAGGCGCACCCGTCAATCTCATCATCGTCGCAACACCACTCGCAGCCGACAAAAGAGGCGCTCCACAGCAACGGCATCCAGTGAGTCCGGGACGATCCTGTCCAGGGTCACCGACGGCGCTGCTTCCAGGTAGGCACCTTGCTGACCAAGCCTTTCGTCTCGTATTTCGCCCCCCTTGTGCCTGAACCGCAGCAAATACAGCGAGGATCAACCCGTCGGGCGGTCGAGCGGCACGTCTGGAGTCGACACGCTGCTCGATTCGACACGCAACCTCTCGCTGGGCTCAGACGCCCACGTTCGCACCACGACGTCGTCGTCTCCTCGCACCTCGTCGTCGCACGCACGGGCGCCTTCCCATCCTTCTCTGCCAGCGGCGGCGCCGGCAGCGAGCGGAGCGGCGACGCCGGCGTATCACCGCATCAAAGTGTCGCCGTTGCACGACAAGGAGATGGTGTTTGCGTTGCGTATGCCGCCGCAGCCGCCGTTTGACTCGCTTCTCGAAAAGGTCCGCGAGCGCATCGGCGACGGCGTCCAGGCGCTCTACACGCGCGACGACGGCGCAGGCCGCATCCGCAACGACGAGGAGCTGGCGAGGTGGCTCAGAGACGTTACCGAAAAGGGCGGCAAGGTCATGCTCTACGCGGAGTAGCCACTGCGACTATCATCACGGTCGCAGCATTGACCCAATGCCCGCCGTGTTGCCGCGGCTCGCGCCCGCGCCACCTTTCCCTTTCCCTCTGCTCTGTCCATGCCGTTCCCTGCCTCCTTCATCGACCAGTTCCGGTGCAACCTCTCGATTTAAACAAGACACGGGCCCCTGTACGACTAGATAGCGCCAGTCTCCGAGGGCGATGGTCCCTCCGTGATAATCCTGCATACCCTTGCGCTTCCATTGCTCCCATGTATGGCGACTCGGCCTGCGTCTGTGCCGTGCTGTGCAATGCTGTGCCGTACCGATCTGCCTTGCGACGAGACCTACCCCTCCAGCACCACCACCACATCGCCCCTGTTCCACTCTTTTCTCGGTCGAGCTCCGGTCGAAGCGCCGAGACGATTCCTCATGAAGAGCGGTCTCGGGGCTGAGTGCTTGGCTCGACCACAATGAAGACCAAGCAAGCCACCTCCCAGACAAATCGCTGTCAAGGGCAACGGGCCCGCCCACCGGCGCCACCTGCACACCTGTGCCGGTTGGACACGATCGTTGTTCGACATCGGTGGCGACCGCCCGAAAGTGCCCGGTCTCATCGCCAGTGCATCCGCGGCACGGCAGAGCCACCCACGCACACAGCGCCGATCCTGCGGTAGCTTCCCGACGGGTAACGAGGCCGTCTCGCTGCTTTGGCCGCGAAGCTGGTGCGGCCGAGGCGACGAGCGGACGGCGCAAGGACGCGGCCGAGGTGCCGAGCCAGAAGGCAAGGGGGCAACGGATCGTTCCGCGGATGCATCCGTGTCCGAGCGGCTTCTGGCGACATCGAGGACAACCCAAGATGAATGAGGGTGCACGCCGAGCCAAGCCGGATCGATCTTGGCCTGGATCAAGACGCACGGAGCGCGCCGACTCGATTCCTTGGATCATCCCTTCTTGCCACCTTCCTCGTCGAGCGAGCCGCGGCCGACGATTGCTTTTCGACCTCTGCCTGCTCTGTCACGCCGGTGGCCTGCCCGACAGGAGACGATAGATGCTGGCCTCGGAAGGTGTATAAAAGAGCGAGGGCCGCGGCGACGTCTGCTCACCGTAGACCATCCAAGCCGCCCTCGCTCTCTGAAACTCTCCTTCCAGCCCCCCCGATCAAGCCCTCGCAGCACCTCCTCGCTCCCCGCTCAGGGTTACACTCAAGCCCAAGATGAAGCTCGTCTCCTCGTACCTGATTGCGCTCGTGTCGCTCTGCATCTTCGTCGGCGGAGCCGTCGCTCTCCCCGTCGCCAGCGACGTCGATGTCGAGGTGCCGCACGTAAGTCGATCGAGAGAGGCCTTGCTCGCCGGGCTTCACGACAATCTGACTCGATCCACCGTCTCGGACTCGCTCTGCTATCCCGCTCGTACGTTGCGCAGCCCCACCGCGCCGTCGTTCTGGAACGACGCTTCCCCCCGGTCGAGGACCTCGCTCGGGGTGCCGAGTACTTCCCCCTCGGAATGAGCAGCAGGGCCAAGCTGATCGCGCTGTACAACTGGGACAAGACGGGCGTCGAGGTGCCCCTCGAGGCGAGGTGGCACGCCTACCAGGCCGGACTGGCCTCGAGCGACAATGCGCTGCTCAAGCAGGTCCTGGAAGCCAGGATCCAGGAGATCGAAGGCTTCTTCCCTTCCACCTCGAACCAGGACCGCCTGGCCGGACGACGCGGCTACAAGCCGCCTCGCATCGTTGCTGGCCTGGAGCGCGACCAGGGTAGCGCTGCTAGCCGGCCCTCGGACGATCAGCTGCGTCGTTGGCTCCACACCGTCAACGCTGCCGGTTCCTCGTCTGGAAGGACGGCCAAGTGAGGAGGCCCGGTGGAAGCAGAAGAAACGTGTGGCGAACCTAGCCCTCCTGTCTCGCCCCGCGGAGACGGCTTCTTCGCCTCGACTCGACGCCTTTTCATCAATCCGCTCCTTCCAATCCGAATGTGCTGAGCCCCCCGACGAGCTGGCACTGTGATGCTTCTCTTTCGTACGTCGCCACAGCTTTCCGCTCGAAGCGGAATGGATGTGCGCCATTGTGAACTCTCCTCTTTGCTCGACCTTCCAAAGGCACCTGTCCAGCGCCTGCGCCTGTATCTCTCCGCACGCCACGACTGACTGCGATTTCAGGGACGGTATGAAACCCCCACCGCGTCGGAATGACGTCGCTCCGGTTAGCAGCGCGGGACTGCCAGCGGCAACGACGACCGGCTTCGGTT